ATAGATTATGCTCCTGCTTACCAGCTCAGGATAGCTCCTGATCTTCTGACAAGCAATCCCCAACTTAATCTCTGGACGCAGTCCATTCTCAAACTTTAAGCACTTAGAGGTCATTGCCCCTTCCACATTATAGTGGGGACAATACTGCACCAGCTCCTCAAACTTGGCAGCATATTCTGCTACAGTCATGCTACCTTGCTTCAGCTCTAAGAATTCAATTTCCTTAGCGCTTCGGATATCTTCCGGGAAATACTTCTCCAGAAAACCTTTCTGAACCACCTCCCAAGTAATGGTAGTTCCAGCAGCTTCCAACCTTTGGCGACTATTGTCCCACCAGGCTTCAGCTTCACCCTCCAACATGTGAGTACCAAACCTCACCTTTTGCTCATCGCTACATTCCATAGTTCTGAAGATCTTCTCAATTGCCTTCAGCCACTTTTGAGCAGCTTCAGGGTCCAGAATTCCCCCTTCGAACGTTGGCGGCTTGTTGCTCCGAAACTGCGCCAAACTCCTGAATTGGGCATCTGCAGTTTGATTCTGATTAGCAACAGCCTGTGCCATTGCTTGCATAGCAGCAGCCAATGCAGCATCGTTCCTTCCTGCCATACTGCTCCACACAACAACACCAGGTTTAAAAGATATTCAACTACATCATAAAGGACAGACTCAACCCGACTCAACAACACTGGCCGGACGGACCAACCAGGCTCTGATACCAATTGTAACACCCCACTTCCCAAAATCAATTAAATTAATAAACATTATAAATAAACAAAATCAGAGTTCCAATTCTCCCAAGTGGGATATCACATAAAAACAATGTTTCCTTATAAAAAGGTTTATCTCCAACTTCAGCGGAATATTAAATAATAAAATTCAATAAAAGTTTGATACGTTCACAGGGAAATAAAATATCAGTTCAACATAAAACAAATAAAAACGCCCAAGTCCCGTGCTACGTATCAGAGCATCCTAGACTCGACAATCACACCAATATCCAAGCTAGCTAAGCACCTGGATTATCTGTACTTCCAAAGAAGCACAGACCACAACAACAACAACAAAGGGGTGAGAAATCATGATCAAAAATATAATGGTAATGTAATACATGTAATAAGGCAGTAAAACACACCAACACATCAATTATTCACCCCAACAACACCATATAACGAACCTACTGTTCAAATTACAATATAACATATTATAATGCAAAATGCAACTCAACACCATGCATGCGGTACCGATTCTCCACAAAGGAGTACGGGTGAATCACTTACGCTCCATCCGAGACATGATTCAGCCCCACCATTCTCCACAAAGGAGTACGGGTGAATCACTTACGCTCCATCCGAGACATGATTCAACCCCACCATTCTCCACAGAGGAGTACAGACAGATCACTTACGCTCCATCCGAGACATGATCCATCCCACCAAGACACCATGATATGCACACACCAATGCATAACTATTATGTTCAGGCACACTAAGTGCACACGATCCGCCTGATCGTATCATTATACATCACATATATATACATAGATATAACATGCACCAACACCATATAAATCAATCAGTTAGTAAACAAGTTCATATTCTGTCACCAAGATACAAACACATCCCACTACTCGGGGGTACGCGATCCTACTGATCACTGCATACATATACATCAACTAATTGTCCACCAGTCATTATTACGGGAAACATGCACTATCACCAAGTACACAAGTTAGTTCCCACACTCATCATTCTTACAGTGCATCAAGGCCAAAGGGATCACACAAGCCCAAGCTCAAGGCCAAAACATCACAAAAATCACATTCTGGTTCTGCTACGTTCGCTGGCATTCGCCAGGCGAAGCCCCGTAGCGAACCTTCGCTAGCATTCGCCAGGCGAACCTGCTGGCGAAGCCCTCATTTCACTATCGTGCACTCGCCAGGCGAACCTTCGCTGGCCACACTTGCCAGGCGAAGTTTCTACCCTTTAGGTCTGGGACTTAATTCTGAATTATTCGCTGCCACTCGCCTCAGCTCGTCAGGCGAACTCTCGCCTCCCTTCGCCAGGCGAAGCTTCGCCAACATTCGCCAGGCGAAGCCCAGCGAACGCTGCGATTCACCAAGTTTTCTCACAGTTCTGCAGTGTATTCTAGGCCAAATTGTACCTATCATCTCAACTCAGATCCTCAGTCTATTCTAGTACCAATCTTGCACATTACCGTAACCAATAGGTTTCTAATTCCTATTCCCAAAATCATCACCTACACACTTTACCGATACCTCAAAAGCCATACGGAATTTTCCCTAAAAACTGTAAAACACCCTATATGCCCTATATGCCAAATCATCCCAAAACACCAATTCATTAACGATTACTATATAATTAACAACAATCATCATCAATCATAACATAACAATATATATTATCATATATCGATCAATTTCCTACGGGGTTAAGGAATCCCCAACTACCCTATACATGTATAAACCATTCCCAATCAAGTTTCTCCCCCCTTACCTTGGTAATCGGTTGATCGATGAAAGAGCCCTCCAAGGTTTGGCCAATTCTGATTTTCCCCTGTTCCTGCTCCCTTTTCCGTTCTCTTTTCCGTTCTTCTCACTTCTCTCCTTTCTATCGTTCCTTTTTCCACTTTCTCTAACTTCTCACAATGTATCGTGAAAACTACTAACCCTCACATTCTCTATTTTAATTCTCTAATCCCAATAATAATACTAATTTAATAATAATAATAATAACTTAATAAATTAATAATAATAATAATAATAATAATAATAATAATAATATTATTATTATCTCACCAAAATAATAATAATATTAATAACAATAGTAACTATAATAAATATAATAATAATAATAATATTCCCACCAATATTAATATTATACACTATATTATTATATTTACCAAAACACCACCAATAATCCTCCCACATTAGGGACACCCACCAAACATCACCAAATACACCCCCACCAAAGGGCACACCAACACATAATATTTAAAATAATAATAAGATGACTAAATAATTAAAATGGGTGTTACACATTCTATTTCCAGGAAAGGTCATGTGATGTGAAGACAAAAAGGTTACAGCCTTTTCAGTACACAGCCTTCAACGTGAAAGACTTTTTGGACTACTGTGCCTATAAAAGCAAGTCTCCATCATCTTCTTCAAGTTGACGAATCATTAAAAAGAAACTCTTACAAAGCTCTCATAAATTATTCTCTTTGCTGAATTTATTTCATTGTTCTTAATCCTAAGTGAAAAATCACAGTTGTGATATAGTTTATTTAGAAGCATTTAAACACTTGTATTGATTGTAAAAGATCCTTGAGAAGATCCAGTTGGGATCAATAGTTCTTGAGAAGACTAAGAACAGTTGCTCTTAGTGGTTGCTATTGTAATCAGTTGATTAATAATGGATTAAGTCCTTGTTGAGAAAGGCAGATCACTCTTGATAGGGTGGACTGAAGTAGTTGAGTTCAACGAACCAGGATAAAAATCTTTGAGTTTTTATTACTATAAGTTTTTCAATATACTTATTCAACCCCCCTTCTAAGTATTTTCTCACCTTCAAACATAGCTATAGAAATATGTTTCTGGCAACATAAGTTGCAAATCAAACAACATCAAAACATGAATTCAGTTAAATAATATCATTGTTTAATAAACAACATTGTTAGAAAAAACTTCATACTCTGGACAGGAAACAACCTACGAAGTTTGTAAAGATATCATTAATCCACTTTGATATAAACATTTTCTGAAAGTTATGTCAACAAATCACCATTGTTTATACAAAGTAGACAAAACAAACAACATAAAAAAACCGTTGGAAGCAATTTTATTAGAGAATAAACAAAATATGATCAGATTAAAAGTACAAACTCGTCTGAGATGTTGTGTGACAGCGGTGTATATGTGCACCATAGTCTATTTGTGGCGAATGTCTGTTTGAGTGGAAACGAGGTTAGAGAAATATTTTCAAAATGTGTAGAGGGAGAGAAAGAGAGAGATTTGAAATACGAGTTTAGTTTGAGAGAAGAAGTGTTGTTTCACATCAATCCGGTAGGTGTGTGAAATGGTTTTGTTGAAAATGGGAGAAAACAATGTTGCTTAAGAAAATCAATCGTTACAAGAAACTTGGCATAAAACTAGAAATTTGGATATGATTTAATTTATACATTTGTTATTTACCAAATAGTCTAAATGGTAGTGTAAATTTGTTTGACTTAAAGGACATTTTTGGCGAAACATCCATTACTTAGTATTAGGTAGACAGTAGATCGCATGAAAATAAATTATTAAATTTTAAAAGAGATTAATTATTATACACTGTCAGTGTAAAAAAATTTATATCGTCAATTTATCACCATTATCCGTTGATACTAATTTATTCATGACTAAAATAAAAGTCAAATTTCTTCGAACATCTAACAGTTATAATTAACTGACAGTGTAGTGTATTTCAATTAAGTTCTTTTTAAAATTAAGGCTTAATTCATCTTTTTGTTCTTTAATTTAATTTAATATTTCATTTTCGTCCCTTTATTAAAAAAAACTTACATTGTAGTTCTTTAAAATTGTTCTGATAGTTTTTTTGGTCCTTTCCGTTAAATTTTTAGAAAAAAATATTAATTGGTAGGAGACGGAAAAAAAAACATTAATTAGTGACCAATAATACTAACGAAACCCTTTTAAGAGACGAAAATGTAACTTTTTTAATTAAAAGACGAAAGTGAAACCTTAAATTAATTTAAAGGATTTGAAAAGTTAATTATACCTAAAATTAATAACAAAATACATTTGAACTATTAAGCTTTTGACGTGTGTAAGCAATGGATTTGAGAACAATAATTTAAATTTAAAATATATTTTCCTCTCACATCTGATCATTCAATTATAATAATAAAGTGAAGCAAACGGAACCACTGAGATCAGTGAAGAAAGAGAAAAACCGGTAACTAGGTGAGTGAGCGAGTTCAAAATGGTAATCAAAGAAGAATTTCTGAGAGAAAACGGTTACGAAGAACGACAAGTCTCACGCAGTGACTTCCCTTCCGACTTTGTCTTTGGAGTCGCCACTTCCGCTTATCAGGTTTGTCATCATCTCCTACGCCATCAATGCAGATTCACTTTCTACATTTCGCTTACTCTCTTTCTTGTGGCGAACTTTCTTCGCATTGATTATTTGGTAAATCTTCAATTTCATCGCTAAACTATCAATTTTTTTTCATGATTTGGTGTCTGAAGTCTATTTGGCATCTGAACTATAGAAATGTAATAACAATCTATAAAGTTAGTTATGTTTGTCGGTTCAGTGGTGATTGACGTTGGAATTGATAAGGAGGACCATGGTTCGATCCTCTACAACTGTGATCTGTGGGGCTAGAACCACTTGATGCCAGAACTCCCGATTAGTCAGTTCTGAGGACCAAATATTGGTGGTGGAAAAAAAACTTAGAGACTTATTTGATGAATAGTTTTGAGATTATTTATTATATTTCTATAGTTCATGACCAAATTGGTGAGAGTGAAAGTGATAGTTTAGAGGTGAAATTGAGAAAATGGACTCTCCGGTGATGAGATATTCCCGCTTTCACGTAGTCGGTGCACTGGTGACTGAAATATTCGGATCCGACAGCTTACAAAATATGCAGATTTTGATTATGTGGTAATTTGAAATAGCTAGCTTGAAATTTGGACAGTTCAATCTTGATTCGGCTGTCACTAATGTGCCGAGTGCGTGAATTCAGGGATCTCAACTAAGGAATCTTGATCCCAAAGTTGAAGGTTTAATGTTGAATATTTATAACTTTTGTTGTGAAAAAAAGTTGATTGGATCTTGACTTGATTTCTTTGCTTTTTGCTCTATTTTTGTTGCGGTTGTTTTTGTGGAATAAAATGATACTGCATTTTATTTGATTTTGTTTTTCTGTCTAGTTTTGTTTTGTTCAACTTTGAAGTTGCATATCAAAGATACAGATAATAGAATCTAGATGATCTGTTCTGTGTTGTTCTGACCTACCCACGGTTTGCTGTGTTTCTAATTTTTATGTTAAGTTATTCTGTTGATTCTATACTTTTGTGAAAATGAATAACAAATTCAAATTAAAAATTTATAAGTGAGTAAATTTGGTTTCAAAATGTTTTCAATTAACTAGTGCTCTAATGAGTAACTAATTGTAGGTGGGTAGATGGATCCAAATTAATTTTGTTGTTTTGAAATTATGAGGAATTATTTTGAAATTTTTGAAGATAATACATGTCTAATAAAGTGATTTAACCATCTTTTATGTGATTTTACTTTAATTTGATTTCTTGTGGAAGTATTTGTTCTAACAATCTGAACCTTGAAGTATGCTCTCCCAAATGTTGTTTTCCCTTCATGATGTTATATGCTGCTGACTTTGACATAACTCTCTAACTATTCTTGTCGTCTGAGTTGTTTTCCCTTCAAAAACTTTGTAGCTCTCCCTTTTTGTCTCAGACTCTCTGTTCATGGACTTCAATCTATCTCTTGTATCTGGATTTCTCGTCTCTTTCTTGGATTTCTACAAAATTTGGACTTGATTGATTCAGTATCATCATAATAGCTATAAAGTAAACCCGGTATACCATTTTTTTAAAATAGTTTATAAATTTGAATCAACAAGGAAGACAAGTTAGTTATGAATTTGTGAGTTGACAATCAGTTCGTTTAGAAAAAAGATTCCCTTTTTATGATAATCTATGATTGACATTGGATCAATGCATTTTGACAGCGTTAATAGAATGAAATATAATCAGATAACTATTGAGATATTTATAAAAGAAGGGAAACTTGTTCTATCAGATATTTATCTTCTTTTTTTTTCTTATATCTAGATAGAAGGTGGTAGCAACGAGGGTGGTAGAGGTCCTTGTATATGGGATGCCTTTACCCACACTGAAGGTATGAGAACTGTTTCCTCAATAAAAAAACTGTCAGACCCTTCACTATCTGTTTGCTCAAATGGTGCTTTTTGATGCTTCATTACTTTCAATGTGCTTGTTGTTTTGGTAGGAAAAATACTTGACAAAAGCAACGGTGATGTAGCAGTTGATCATTATCATCGGTATTTGGTCAGTAGTATCTTATTATTATTTCCTCTTACTTTCAAGATCATGATTTGCACGTAAATTTCATATTTTAACTTTCTTGATGTAATTATGTTAACAGGAAGATATTGATCTTATAGCCAAGTTGGGTTTTAGCGCTTACAGATTTTCACTTTCCTGGTCTCGTATTTTCCCTGGTAAGTTTTATTAGTGATGAATTCTAAATACATATGTTCCCAATATGGTTCATTGTTTTTTACATATTTCCATGTCCATGAGATCATGAAGCCTGGAGTTTTATCAGTTCCTCTGTCTCATCAATACTTGGTCCATTGTTAATATTGTCACCTTTTGGCTCCTGATTATGCGTCTACAAGAGTTTATGAAAAGCTTAAGCTAAGATGGTAAAGCAAGAAAAAGATAAACCCCTACAGTATGATGCATTTTACTTCGAATAAGTCTTTCAGGGGTAGTTTTTCTTTGTCTACCGCTATTGATATTATTGTCAACAAGTTATGGACACCTTCTATTGATTTATGATGAAATGAAGAGTTTGGGTGAAACAAGATCTTTCAAATTTTATATCATCTTCCTTAAGATATAAACTGATAATAGATTGGTCAGTTCTTGTCACTAGTACCATTGGAAGTTGCAGAAAAGTACACTTTTTCTTGGAGGCTTGATTATAGTTGATCACCCTACTAAAAGGTTGTTTATGCTAAAATTTAAAATATAACATATTTTGTCTCTGAGGAAAGAATATTTCACTTTTTTTAAATAAAGGGGAGGACGACGTAATGTGCACATTCACAGAACTTACCTTCATTTCTCGTGCCTCATTTGTAATCTAATGAAAAATGTGACACAATCTGTTAGTGGTAAATGATGACTACTTAAACAAGCGATCGAATAAAATAGAAGATGGCACTGGAATTGTTGAGCAATAAGACTTTCAGCCAGTTTATGTCATGGAATTTATTATTCAGTGTTATTCTTAATAATTTTATGCCATGCCATCTTTTCTGAGCTGTGATATTGAGGCTAACAACATAGTTTTCCTTGTCCCCAAAACCAGTATAGTCATGTTGAAATTGAAGATGTTGTGCTTGCAATAATTTGTTTGGTTTGTCTGTAGTGTTACAGAGAATTAGAGAATCTTTGGATTTTATTTTATTGTATTGTAATGGTTTATGGGTGTAGATGGCTTAGGAACCAAAGTCAATGATGAAGGGATAACATTTTACAACAACATTATTAATGCTCTTCTTGAAAGAGGTATTGTCTGTATAAAACTACTTTACCTTACTTTTTTATGTCTTCTATCAACCATATATATTAAGTTCCTGATTTCGAGCAGGTATTCAACCTTTTGTAACTTTGTACCATTGGGATCTTCCGCTGCATCTTGATGAGTCAATGGGAGGATGGTTGAATAAAAAAATCATGTGGGTATTTTCTAACTGATTTTTTTTTCTTTTTCATTTTATTATTCATTTCTTCCCAAATAATAAAAAAATCATATCTTTTACTGGATGGTGCATTCATATATATGTGGCGTGTGGCAGAGAATATTTTGCACTCTATGCAGATACTTGCTTTGCAAGTTTTGGTGACAGAGTGAAAAACTGGATCACTATCAACGAGCCCCTTCAAACTGCAGTTAATGGATATGATGCTGGAATCTTTGCCCCTGGAAGATCTGAAAATAGATCAGTAGAGCCGTACTTGGCAGCACATCATCAAATCTTGGCCCATGCAGAAGCTGTTTCCATTTACCGAATCAAGTACAAGGTCAAAGGCTATACTCGATTTTACTTGCTTGATTATATTTAGTATTAGAATAGAAGTCTTTTATTCTCAATAAGATTTTGTTTCTATGTTCCAGGATACGCAAGGGGGGCGAGTAGGACTGGTAGTAGACTGTGAATGGGCTGAGCCTAACTCTGATAAGATTGAAGATAAATCCGCTGCTGCAAGACGCCTAGATTTTCAGATTGGCTGGTAGTTTTATATACTTTTGTTTTATATTACTAGTTTCATAAGAATTTATTCGATTTTTCGCTTTATATAGATGCATGAAAGCGTATGGACACATACAAACTTGGTGTAAGATTCATGCTTATGTTAGAGTATATTTTTAATCCAGGTTCTTGAATCCACTGTATTATGGAGAGTATCCTGAAGTTATGCGCGAACGACTTGGAGACCAGCTTCCTAAATTCTCAGAGGAGGATAAGAAATTTCTTTTGAATTCGTTGGACTTTATTGGTCTAAATCACTATACAACAAGGTTAATTTCACATGTACCAGAATGCACTGGAGAAAGTCATTACTACAACGCACAGGAGATGGAGAGAATCGGTAAATAATTGGAATAGTGTATCATTTTTTAAACTATATATTCAAAATGAACTTTCCTTGATGATTAAGCTATTTGTCCACAGTGGAATGGGAAGGTGGCCAGCTCATTGGTGAGAAGGTATATATTGTCACTGTCTCATTGTTCTTGTAGTTTATATACAAAACCAAAACATGCAAGTTTTATACTCTATGTGCTTATAACAGGCAGCATCAGAGTGGCTATACGTTGTTCCTTGGGGTCTTCGGAAGGTTATTAATTACGTATCACAAAAATATCCTGCTCCAATATATGTCACAGAAAACGGTACGTGACTTTTCTTTTCCTATCAACTTAAGATCCATGTCAGCATTAGAATATATACTATTGTTGTGGAACTCAAGATCCATGTCCTGCAATTGAATCCTAACACAAATCTATTGTATGTGGTCGTGTGGATGGAGTTCTTCTGTTTCATGCGAATCTTGGGATTGATATCACTATTTTTATATAATAAAATGGTTCTCATCTCTCTTAGGCCGTCATTCCATTTGACAGGTATGGATGATGAAGAAGATGATAGTTTGCCACTGCATGAGATGCTTGATGACAAACTAAGAGTTCGCTATTTCAAGGGATACCTTGCGTCAGTTGCTCAGGCTATAAAGTAAGATTTTCACTTGTTTTAAAGCATTGTGAAAGTTTAGAACAATGTCAGAAGCTGATTTTGTGGGAAATTAACCTTCTAAGATTATCATTATCTTTCTCCATACTGTATTTTGAAAAGGATAATAAAAATTGCAAATTTCACATCATTACAAAAACAGTTTTCACCGACATAACAACTTAGTATAAGTAAGTGTATGAACTTGAAAACAGAATAAGAATCTTAATCAAACATGTCTAAAGTTTTGTCTATCATTTCAATGCACAGGGATGGAGCAGATGTGAGAGGATACTTTGCATGGTCATTACTGGACAACTTTGAATGGGCTCAAGGATATACCAAACGCTTTGGATTGGTTTATGTAGATTACAAAAACGGACTCACTAGGCACCCAAAATCTTCTGCATATTGGTTTTCACGGTTTCTGAAAGATAGAGCAAACAAGGAGGGTAAAGAAGAGTAGTTCACTCTTAAAATTATGTCTTGCCAAATACCATAAGGAAGAAAATAATGCAAGAACAAAAATTTCTGTCATTGTTTGGATGCTTTGTATAAACTACAGTGGCACTTCTCAAGTTATTTATGACTTCTTTAAGTCTTATGCCCCTAATTTAAAACACTATTATTTATATTTGTCTTGTACCATGAAAATTGACACTGGTGGATACATTTTTTTCCTCAACATCTTTTGGGAAAGTTGATTACCTTGAAATTTGATTGGAAAAATAAGTCATTTTGACATTAAGGGAGAAGCATACCCTCGAAGTTCTGCGATTCATTTTATAATCCAACGGAATTTTTTCTATGTTCTTTTGTGTATCAGCTGTTTCTATCAGTTAGTATAAGACAATTTTGATCCAAAAAGATTATGTGGGTGCTGGAAATTTTGGCATGAAGATGAGTGTAGATTTGATTTTAAAGTTTGATGGAAGAGATGTTTATTGATTGTTATCTAGCAAGAGCAATATTTTGGTTCAAGAAGAATGAGCGAATATATTTTGGTTAAGAATGAATGAATGAGAAGAAGTTTTGGTGGTTTTTTCATTTGCATTGAGAAGAAATACTTTTGATTGGTGGATTTGTTTTATAGAAGAAAAGCAATCCAAATATTTGTTAGTGGAATTTTTCAAACCATAAGTTTGAGATTGTCTTTCGAAATCAATGAATGGAAAATGGAGAACATTGTAAAATGTTTATTAATTCATCCTTATTAGTTATCTCTAAAATAATACTTACAACAGATAAGATAAAAATTTGCAAAATATATATATATATATATATATATATATATATATATATATATATATATATATATATATATATATATATATATATATATATATATATATATATATATATATATATATATATATATATATATATATATATATATATATATATAAAAATTTAAGTAATTATCTATTAAAATAAGTGGATATAAGTTCGGGTATAAACATCTTAGAATCCAATCTATTTTATATTTATATATGTATTTATCTTTTTTAAATTATATTATTATATAAAATGTATGTTTATGAATTTTATAAAATACATCAATATTAAACTAATATGTATTTTATTATAAAAATATTTGTTTATTTCATAATTTGATAATAATTTTTAAAAAAATAATGTTAAAAATTTAAAATGATATGAAATTTTATAATTGATCGATTTATTTTTAATAGAAATGTAGCTAATTGATACAAGTATGAGTACATGCATATTTAAAGGTGACGTATATTAAAGTTGGTGCCCAAACATATATAAACTTGGATATGAGAATTTTTTCATGTTGCGGATATGGGAATGGGTATTATAGTACTTTATTCAAGGTTGTTAAAATTGCGATTTAAAACCTAAGCGGTTAGATTTTACGTTTCTAGGATAGCATTTGGTGTTAAATCTCATGTAAAATCGTTTTTAAGTAAAATTCTATACTGGAACAATTTTACACGATTTAAATCTCCTTGAAATCTGTAAAATCGTGTAAAATATTTGGATTTTACTCTGACTTTATTTTACCTTTTTTTCTTGAAATTTTAAAAAGCTCAGATCAATAAAACTTCTCCCACTTTATTATTATATTCACTTTAAATAACCTCTTTTTTCATTAGACATTAGTCTTTTCATTTATCAGAGCAATGAAAATTAAAAACTTTTGAACCTTAACGTCACTTCACTTGTACGACACTGGACCGAAACTTCAACAAAAATATTCTGTGAGCTTTCTTCTTTTACTGGTAAGTATCTAAAAAGCGAGCCTTCTTCACAAATATAAAACTGAGCAATGATATGTTACTATGTTATTATGTGAATGTATGTAACCTTGGCTTGTTATTATGTTTGTTAAAGTGTTACTAGTCTTGTTCATTCATTCAGAGAAAAAGGGAGAAAATGATCTTGTTGTATTGTTCTTTTACACAAACGACATTCCATTTAACTGTATCAAAAATCATGTCTTTGCAAAAATATGTGATGCAATTGAAAATATGGAATTGGGTACAAACTTTCTAATTATCATGATATCATAGACAAGTTATTGAAAATAGCAATACATGAAACTGAAAAAGCTGTTGAAAATTTTAAGGATGAATGCAAGAGAATCGACAATTCAATCATGTCTAATGGGTGGATAGAAAGAAGAAAATAACATTCGATTTGGCACTTTATGGTGAATAGTTCTAAAGGAACAATTTTTCTTTATTCATTAGACAAGTTTGATATTTCTAAAACAACTGATAAATATAAACACATCTATATAATATTATTTTAATATGATGTAAACTCTACGATTTTATATTTTAATTTTATGTTTCGATTTTACCTAGGCAAAACGAGTCAAGGTAAAAATTTAATTTTGACAACCTAGACCCTATCCAAAACCTTCTCATTGTCATCCTTAATCATAGTATCCAGTAGCACTATTCTAGAATCTAAATTTCAAATATAGTGTTACAATAGGATTTTAGGGGAGAGTATTGTATTAGGTAAAAATGAAAATGTAAAAAAAAAAATTTCAATAAAAATTAAAGAGCTTCTTCTTCCACCTCGAGTCATAAAAAATAGAGGGTCGTGACTAGTTTTTTTTCGTTGTCTCGATCGACAAATATTAATGAATATTTATTTGGCATTACTCATTATACCTTATGTGTTACTATATAAAAAATTTCAAAAATAATTTTGAATTTTGAATTTTGAATTTTAAAAAATTTGAACGCACTTAATACATGACAAACCATTTACGGAACACACCAAAACTAGATATTAAAAACTCTAGAGATTAGAATTCGGGCGTGCCTAACACATCACACTAATGACCAACCTCAGAACCACAAAATTTAAAAATACTAAGGATTTCAAAGGCTGGATTTAATCTGGAGGAATCCTTATGCTTTCGTTTAAGTAAATGTTTTCCCTTTTTCTTTCCATTTTCATTTTTACAAAAGTGAAAACATAGAGAATACGAAGAGCTACTCATCATCTTTGTTTACAGAGCTTGTTCTCTTCATTTTCAAGGCTTCTCATAGCTTCTATCAATAGCATTGAAGCTTATCATGTCTCTACTCCATTGCATTACACTTATCTGAAACTCATTTCCATTGCATTGGTAAGTTGCTCATTCTCTCTTTTTTTTTTATATCACATGCATGCATTTTCAAAATAGATTATAGGTATGTCATTTGTGTTTGTCCTGAACTTCCTTGCGTTGAGTTTTTTGGTACTAGAGTTTAGGGTTCGCATGCTTGTTCTCTAGTTCACGTGTTTGTCTCAGTGTAGTCGGGATTGTACAATTTGGAACCTTAGTCCGGAGATTCAAATATGAATTATTCTATTATCTAATTTTTGGTTTTACTTGTTTCTGTTTTCATGTTTTAACATCTCTCTGGTGTGCTTGTTTGATTACAAAAACAAACAAAAAATCTGACAACCAAGAAATGTTAGAACACAGATTGGTTCTTAATAATTACTCTTTGTTTTGATGATAACTGTTAGGAAATTTATATTTAAGAATTATATACTCTAAAATTTGTTTGAGAGTTTTACTGCAGATTAAAATTATATTAACTCTCTAGAAGCAAATCTGCCTTGAATACAAGAAGTTATTCTGACTCTGAAGCGCCAGATGCATCTTACAGAAGAATCTGCTTGCTCCTTACAGAAGATCCTGAGCGTAGTCTCCAGAAGGATCTGAAGCAAGAAGCTCCAGAATATTCTAACTCAGAAGCATCTGAAGATAGTCAGAAGCATCTGAAGATAATCAGAAGCATCTGAAGCTGAAGCATCAGAAGTATAGAAGAATATTGATTGAAGAGTTTCTCAAAGCATTAGTCTACAGAAGTTTCTGAAAGTACTTATGCTGCCAAGTACTGAAGTTCTGTGTCAAGATGCTCTGATGATCAACACGCTAGAAGCACACACGCTGCAGAAGACTCTGATACAGCATAGTTCTGAAACTCATCAAAAGACTCTGATCCATTCAGACTCTGAAGAACTTGCTGAAACTGAAGAAGTGTTTTCAAGAATTTATCCGTTGGAACTATTCAACGTCTCTTTCCTTATTTGTGCTAGACACAACTACACAGACAAAAAGGATTTATCTGTGCCATCTATTTCAAGGAAAGGTCAGTGCATGTGAAGACAAAAAGGCTCAGACCTTTTGGACTCTCTTCTCAACGTGCATAATTCAGCTGCCTATAAAAGGAGTTTCTCACTTCATTCTTCAGTTACACACTTGCTGAAAAGAAATCACAATATTCTATAAGCTCTCATTCTTATTCTTCATAGAATCTCATTGTACTTAATCTTAAGAGAAAAATCACTGTTGTGATTATAGCTTTATAGAAGCATTAAAAACTCTTGTATTTAATTTACATTGTTTGTAAAGGATATTCCTTAAGAGGATTCAGTGTGAATCAGTAGCTCTTGAGAAGACTAAGAACTGTAGTTCTTAGGTGATACTATTGTAATCAGTTTGATTTAATAGTGGATTAAGTCCTTGTTGAGAAAGGCAAATCACTCTGGAAGGGTGGACTGGAGTAGTTGTTTAACGAACCAGGATAAAAATAATTGTGTGGTTATTTCTAAGTATTAATTTTCCATACTTATTCAACCCCCCTTCTAAGTATTATCTCACCTTCAGTTGGCATCAGAGCTCCGGTTCTGAGTGTGCTATCACTTAACAGTGTCAGTAAAGATCCAGAGGAGATATACTTTGATCAATATATTTATTTGTTATCATGGCTGATAATTCAATGTCAAATATCAATAATAAATATGAAGAGAGGGATAGGATCAGTACCAAACCTCCAATGTTTGATGGAGAAAAATTTGCCTATTGGAAAGATAGAATAGAAAGTTTTTTTCTTGGGTATGATGCTGATCTTTGGGATTTGGTCATTGATGGATATGAACATCCTACTGGAGAGGATGGCAAAAAGATTGATAGAAAATCAATGACTG